ATCTTACGAAAAAATGCTTTGCCTGGATGAAGTTCAGTGGAAAGGATGTTTACTTCAAAATGAAAAGCAATAATTCTTTTGAGAAACAAACTATTGTTGCATGCCAAACATGGATAAATCTCAAATGCACAACGCTGAATGAAAGAAGCTTTACACAAAAAAGTAGATATCGTATGATCCCACTTATATGAAGTCCTAGACCAGGCAAAACTAATCTATGTTGAAATAATCAGAATAACAGTTGCCTCTGAAAGGAGGTGGAGTGAGACTAACTAGGAATGGGGTGTGAGGCAACTCTATAGGATAATGAAAATACTGTACATGCTAATAGGGGTATAGGCATTTGTCAAATCTGACTCAAGTGCACACTTAACATTCATGCATGAGACTTTATGTAAATTTTACCTCAAAACATAAATATCAAATTCAATTAATGACTACATGCTAAAGTATTTAGGAAATAAAGGTTACTTATGCTTGCAACTTCTTAAGATTTATGCATGTGATTTTATGTAAATTTTACCTCAAAACATAAACAAACATCAAACTCAATTAATGACTATTGCTAAACTATTTAGGAAGTAAGGTTACCGATGCTTGCAACTTCTGTAGAAATGCATTTAGGGGGGGAAAAATAAATGCATTTAAAAAGTTGACTGATTGGCCAGGCGTGGTGGCTCATGCCTATAATCCTAGCACTCTGGGAGGCCAAGGTGAGAGCATCATTTGAGGTCAGGAGTTCAAGTTCACTGCTGAAAAGAGCAAGACCCTGTCTCTATTAAAAATAGTAAAAATTAGCCAGGTGTGGTGGTGCACACCTGTGGTCCCAGTTACTTGGGAGGCTGAGGCAGGAGGATGACTTGAGCCCAGGAGTTTGAGGTTGCTGTGAGCTAGGCTGATGCCACAGCATTCTAGCCCAGGAAACAGAGCAAGATTCTGTCTCAGAAAATAAAAAATAAAAAAATTTAAAAAATTTAAAAATAAAGTTGACTGATGGATGTGTACAGGGAGATACATATTTGATAAAGCAATTATGGTAACTTCATCATAGTTTGAAAATTCTCATAAAAAAAGCTTGGTGGAAGAGAAATGTGAAAGATCTCTATGTACTCAGGTGAAGAGATCACCAAGATGTAGTGTTATATTTTTCATTATATGTTATATATGTAGATTTCATATATTTCATGATTTATAAAAGAGAATATGACATATGCCCTTCTAAAATATGTCAAGTATTATAATACTGTAAGACTCAGACATCTTTCCACTGTAATGACTCAAGCAACTTACACAGCTCAAAAAAGACAAACTGAAAAAAATTAAAATAGAAAAAACCTGAATAATTACTTTTCCTATTTTTCAGTATTTTTCAAATGTTTTAACATTATATACATAAAATTTCCTTAAATCAGTAATTGTCAGCTAGAAACTACATCAAAAGGTTTTTTGCCTATTAACCTTCACTGCTACTTAGTACTACTATGAAAATACTATAGCTTGGATTTATTATTTTATAAATTTCAGCTGCCAAGTTTTCTATAAATTGTACTAAGCACAGGCAAATTCATCTTACCAATGAGCGGTCAATTATTTAGAATGGTAATATAAAACTTTACCTTAAAATTTATTTTCTTTTTGGTGAGGCACAGTGGCTCACGCCTGTAATCCTAGCATTCTGGGAGGCCAAGGCAGGAGGATTGCTTGAGCTTAGGAGATCAAGACCAACCTGAGCAAGAGTGAGACCCTGTCTCTACCAAAAAAATAGAAAAAATCAGCTGGGCATGGTGTTGAGCACCTGTAATTCCAACTGCTCAGGAGGCTGAGGCAGAAGGATCACTTGAGTCCAGGACTTTAAGGTTGCAGTAAGCTATGATGATGGCACTGCACTCTATCTGGGAATATGAAGTAAGACTCTGTCTTAAAAAAAAAAAATTGATTTCCTTTTTCACATCATTATGGTAAATTGAGTCATTTTTATAATTTAAAGGTAACACAATACTTTTAGTGACTAATGAGGGGCAAAACAATCAAGTAGAAATACGAATAAAATACTTTTTTTCTCTGAAAAAATAAACTCAACATTTTTTGGTCATAAAATGAGATACTTTAACATAAAATTATAAATTGAGAGTTTAAAAAAAAAACAAAACAGCCGAAGGCAGCAAAAATCATAATACTAACAATGACAAACACAAACCTAACAGGGTAATAGGGTACTTTGCATACCCAGTCACATGTATTACACTCCAGAAATGTAAGTATTTTTAAAATAGTTTTAAAAAGCTTACCCCTTCTGCTTCAAAGGTAATTCAAGTTTAAATATGGTAGCATCATTAACAACTGCTTTATATGCCTGCAAAAAAATAATGTAAAATGAAATATAAACATTACTTCTAGTATTTAAAATACAAATTATTATATTTCTAAAAATACATAAAATATAAATCAGTGTATTTGGCCTGATAGAATTTGCCTAGTCAAAGACTTTAGCAGGCTTTTTGGCATGTTATATTATCAACATTCTCAAGTGAGGTCTTAATCCTGTCTGACAATGACACTATTTTCTCTTGTCCACTCAGTCTCCTATTCTCCTATACAACATTTCGTACCATCTCCTTTCTCCTTAAACTTCCAATATTTCTTCCCCCATGTACATTTTTATCTAATGATGTGGTTTGTTTCCTATTTCACTGAGAAAACTGAAGTAATCAGAATTCTCTCTTCTTACTCCTACATTAATTTCTCCCTCTTCATTGTTTGTATAGCCTCAGCATTAAAAACATATTATTATGTTTCACATCTTAAAAAATGTCTTTCGGCTTTGTCTATCTTCAGCTAATGCCCCATTTTTCTCTCTCCCTTTAATCTAAAATCCTAGAAGAATTATCTAATTTGCTGACTCCAATTTCTTTCCTGCATTCTTATTAAACACCATTCTAATCATGCTTTCGCACCATCACTGTACACATTTGTTCTTGACAAAGTCACTCCATGTTGGTGAAGTCAAAGGTTATATGACTTACAGAAACAGATTTTAAAACAGCAGATCATGCCCTTCCTCTTGAAAGTACTTTTTCCACTTGTTTTCTAGCACACAGCACTCTCCTGGTCACTCCACTGCTGGTCATTCCTCTCTCATTTTTTTTTTTGAGACAGAGTCTCGCTTTGTTGCCCAGGCTGGAGTGAGAGCCATGGCGCCAGCCTAGCTCACAGCAACCTCAAACTCCTGGGCTCAAGCAATCCTGCTGCCTCAGCCTCCCAAGTAGCTGGGACTACAGGCATGCACCACCATGCCCGGCTAATTTTTTCTATATATATTAGTTGGCCAATTAATTTCCTTCTATTTACAGTAGAGATGGGGTCTCGCTCTTGTTCAGGTTGGTTTCGAACTCCTGACCTCGAGCAATCCGCCCACCTCGGCCTCCCAGAGTGCTAGGATTATAGGCGTGAGCCACCGCGCCCGGCCCTATGTTTAACTTTTTAAGGAACTTCCCAACAATTTTCCAAAGTGGCTACACCATTTTATATCCCCACTGGCAACTTATGAAGGTTCCAATTTCTCCTCTTCCTGCCAATATTTGTTATTGTCTGTCTTTTTTATTTTAGCTATCCTAGTGGGAATAAAGTGGAATCTCCTTGTGGTTTTGATTTACATTTCAGCAATGATGTTGAGCATCTCTGCATGCACTTACTGGCTATTGGTATATCTTCTGTGAAGAGATATATATTTAAATCCGTGGCTCATTTTTAATTGGGTCATTTGTTGTTTTACTGTTCCATCTTAAATATTCTAGATACAGTATCAGATATACAAATTACAAATATCTTCCTAACTACACTTGATAAAATTTTTACAAATAAAGTTCTTTAATTCTAAAAGTCTCTTCTGTTTTAAATTACAGTGTACTAAATATATATTCGTTTTGTTATTTCTTCCTCTGTTCTATATATAACTGACAGTAAGAGTTTTGAATATTTTGACAAAAATTTTTAAGTCACAGAACAATTATTCTTTTTCTCATTATGCACAGTTTCAGTTGGCATAGTAATTTTTACTATCCCCACTGCCATGCAAAGAAGTTATCTATAAGTTAAAATCTATCTATACAGAAATGAAGGATATCCATTTTAATACTACTTAAATTCCATTAAAATGAACTAAAAGGAATGGACTCAAAACATTTTTATATGGGAATTAAATTATTAACATTGACTATCCTAAATAAGCAATCATATAAAGGTTCATTTTACCATATAGTATTTATTAATGTTATTTATGTATAAACATCTCTATAGTTAAGTACATAGTACTGAAATACCTTAAAAATGAAATTATTTGCCCTGTAGCCTATTTATTAATAAGGTCAGTTCAAATGAGAGCAGAGATGCAAATGAGAGTGAAATACCGCGTTTCCCTGAAAATAAGACCTACCCATAAAAGAAGCCCTAGCAGGATTTCTAAGCATTCACACAATATAAGCCCTACCCTGAAAATAAGATCTTGTGATGGGCAAAGCTACACAGCGTATCTGCACAACCCATGTATTTTGTCGCTCAGCGGTAAAGAAAACGAGCAGCCCTTCTCATCTGCCCCATCATGACAGCTACTATCCCAGAGGTGACAGAAAGGTGCAGGCAGCCCCACCAATAAGGTCAGCTCCCCCTGTCAGGTCCCGGCCATCCTGTGCATGCTGCAAGCTGAGGCTCTGAGGGGAAAATAACACATCCCCTGAAAATAAGCCCTAGGGTGTCTTCTTGAGGAAAAATAAACATAAGACCCAGTCTTATTTTCGGGAAAACACAGTAGTACAAACAAAGCAAGAGAAAGGTGCTTTACTAAAAGTCTTTATTAAGAAAATTTACTTTCTTAGATATCATTTTATATTATTGATTCCCTATTTCTTTGACATTAATAGTTGTCACCCAAAATGCATTACTTAACATGTATATGAATCATGTACTTTATTAGAAAACCAAATATTTAAAAAAAATTTACTTACTCTTAGCCATTCTACCATATTTTCTTCAATTTCACTATCAGCAGAGATGTCTAATATAAGACGTCGTGTCAAATGAGCTTTGTGATACCTCATAAAAACATCTTTGTTTTGTACATATTTAAGTACCAACAGCTGTATGAAAAACAAAGTTACTTTCAATTCTTATATACTCTTAGCCATTTCTCTCATTTAGACCTTTCTATATCCCCCCAATTGTCAAAATTCAGAAATTTATATAGACATGTACAGATAAAGGCCTATTAAATTACCCATCTTGGGTAACTTTAAAAGTTAGCAAATGTGAGATTGTAACCAAATAACCTTTTAGTCCCTATAAATACCAGTTTTTAGATTTCATATAAAATGTGACAGTATTTTACATTAAAAAAATCAATGGTTCTTCCCCAATTTTCTCTTCTACATATCTCCTTCACTTTTTTTCTGCCACTAATCATCTCTCTGGTCCTTTTAGAATATACTTGGCCTATGTTTTTACTTTTTTTTCCCCCCTTCTTTGTGTTTCTGGACTTATATCATTATGGTGAAAAATAAAAATGAAAGCAACTAACTCTTCTATTCTCATTTGTCCCTAGCTATCTATCTTGGGCTCTCAGAAAAAGGAAGGAGTAAAACACTCCCAATTTCTCAACTATCATTCCAAACTTATCGGTTTTACTTTCCCTTTTTAAATATAATAATAGGAGTTAGAATATTGCTTAAAAAGAATCAAGAAAGGAGAAGAATTAAATGGTATTCTCTTTCTGGCAGCTATAGAATAAAAATTTTCAGAGAAAACTAACTTCCCAGTAGAAGTCTTGGCATTGTCAAACTCTGTAACATTAGCTGGTTACAGATATACTTTTTATTATCATTATTATTATTGATACTATCACAGAAACTCCTATGAGCAAAATACACAGTAAGGTAATTGAAAAAGTTGAAATGCAAAAAAAATTATGTACCACTTCTTTAAGCTTTGCTTCAATCTCTTCAGAGGTTAGTTTTTTGCTTAATGGTGTTTTTCTTAGCAACATGTCACAGTAATTGGCAAGCAGCTCAGGGCATTTTGATTCAGGCTGAGTTTTTAATCCCACCCTAAAAAACAAATTAAAAGCAGTTGATGAAAAATGATCGATACTTGTAAAATTTTTTTCTAAAGCCAGTTTTTCACAAGCTAGTTTCTTATGTTGAATCTAGTCATCAGGGCTGGGACTAAGGTGAGCAATCAAGACAGCTAGCATAATTTATGAGGCACTTATTTTTAGGTTCCCCTAAGTACCAACACTGTACTTGCAAGACCCTAAGAGCAAGAACTTCCTTAAATTTGGCATTCTGGGTACCCCCTTGCCTCAGCTGACTGCTGGCCTTACAAAGATCTTTAAAAGATTTTATTCAGATACCCACTAAAATACTTCTGAAAACCTATGTAAATCCTTGGATATTTATAAGTTAACATTTATAAACATTAATATTTATAAGTTAACATTAAAAAGGCTGGTCTCAAACTCCTGGCCTCAAGCAATCCTCCTGCCTCAGCCTCCTGAGTAGCTGGGATTACAGGAGCTGAGTCACCATTCTCAGCTTCTAAACACAGAGTTCGAGGCATCAGAGATCAAAACACCTGAGCAGAGCGAGACCTGTCTCTACTATCACAAAAAATATCTACCCCGATATAACGGAACATCATTCAAGAATTATGGACAAAACTAATATATAACACGACAACATACCGGGCATCGGTGGCCATGCCTGGTAAGTCCCACGCTACTTGCGAAGCGTAGAGAGACACCGTTCAGTGATGCTTGAGCCCAAGAAAAATTTGAGTATAGCATGTAGCTAGGCTGACGCCATGAGCACTCAACTCTAGCCTAGCCAAAAAAGTAAGGAAACCGCCAGACTTCATGTCCAAAAACAAATAAAAAGGATAATGAGGTATAACCAACCAACATAAACCTGACAAACCCAAGAGAACACCCAATAAAGACCTTATAAAAAAGAAAACCGTGAAAGGCAAAAAAAGGAAGAGGCAAAATCTCCCATGAATACTATGTCACGGAAAAAAAACAAAACTAAAATAGAATTACCGTACTCTTACCTGACTTGCAGACTAAACACCAATCAGAACAGTATTTCACCAACCAACTAATACAGTTATCCGTACATACACAGCACCATAACCCACTCAATTCAGACTGTAGATAGGTACACCACAAGAATACCAAATAGTAAATCAAGAGAGCACAAGAAAAAGAGAGCCCTAGATTCCGTATTAATATCTTTTATCGGCATATTATTGATCCCGTGCGCTAGCAATTCTAAGAGAGTATATCAAATAATGCAACAATTATCCCCATTCACCCAACAAGATCCTAGAAGTCAATCCAGCATGACCATTCACCCCCAGAAAGGTAGCACATCTCACATACAGTTATGATAATGCTACTAACCAAACCCAACCCCCTCCCCCCCTCACCACCACTGACCCAAATCTACCATATTAACTGTAACGTAACCTAACAAACTATGTTTGTCACTAGTGGTGCTACAGTTACATAAACCAAAAATTTGCCATGAGCGGGGAGTACATATACCCACCGTGCTTATAATTATATTCCATTCCTTACGGGAGCTATTTATCCACTTACGTAATGAATGAGGTTCCCAAAGCTCTAACACAAACAGGAAAAATAATCAAAGAATAAGATGCTCAATAAAACACCCAATTGTTAAAATCTTCAAGAGCCGAGAATACAGAATAAACATCAACCAATGGTCCACATATTCACTAACCACATTTATTAATCATTCTTTGGATTGATGGCACTTGGGCTGTTTCCACAGCTTGCAATTATGAATTGTGCTGCTTAAACATTTGAGTGCAGGGTCTTTTTTGTAAGTGTCATTGGTAGATCCGCATTTTTAATTCACTTGATTTTGTGACCAGAAAGGCACCAGTAGCAAATGGATGGAAAGAATCTTTCTAATAAGTGTGCTGAACCCACTCACTAATTGAAGAAAATGATTCATCCTCACACCATACAAAACTTAGATGAGATCTTAGACCTACATATGAAAACTAAAAATGTAAATCTTCTAGAAGGAAACAAAAAACATCTTCATGTCCTAGGAAGAATTAGACAAAGCCTTCCTAGATAAGACACAAAAAGCAAAAACCATAACAGAAAAGTGTATGTTTTACAAAGAACCTATAGTCAAGCACTCTTTCTAGCTCACAGCAACCTTAAGCTCTTGGTGTCAAGCATCCTTCTGCCTCAGCCTCCCGCAGTAGCTGGGACTAGGGCATGACCACCTTCCTGGCTATTTTTCTATATTTTTTATTGGGCAATTAATTCTTTCTTTTTTAGGTAGAGCACAAGGGTCTCGCTCCTTGGCTCAGGGTGTTTTCCATCCTGAACTTGACCATCCACCTGCCTCGCTCCCAGAGTGCTAGATTACAGGCATGAGCCACCGCGCCTGGCCTATAAAAGCACTCTTATAACTGACTGACTAATAAAAAGGAACAACCCAATAGGGGGGAAAAAAGCAAAAAATGTGAAGACACTTCATAAAGGACAATGTAAGAATGCCAAAAAAAGATGAAAAATTACTCAACCATCAATGTCATCGAGGAGATGAGAATAGAAACCATAGGACGATACTATACAAATGCAGAATGATTAAAAGTAGCCACCCACCACAACAAAATTTTGAGAATGGAGGATCAACTGCATCTCATTACTTTTTTTTGTTTTTGAGACAGAGTCTCACTTTGGCTGCCAGGCTAGATCAGTCCGTGGCAGTCACACTAGCTCACGCAACCTCAATCGCCTGGGCCAAGCGATCCTACTGGCCGTCAGCCCCGAGGATACAGGCATGTGCCACCCATGCTGGCTAATTTTTGTATATATATTTAGTTGGTCAATTAATTTTCTTCTATTTTTAGTAGAGACGGGGTCTCGCTCAGGCTGGTTTTGAACTCCTGACCTCGAGCAATCCGCCCGCCTCCGCCTCTCAGAGTGCTAGGATTACAGGCGTGAACCACCACGCCTGGCCAGCACTCTCATTCTTTGTTGGTGGAAGTGTAAATAAAATAGCATGAACATTTTGAGAAACAAACTATTGTTGCATGCCAAACATGGATAAATCTCAAATGCACAACGCTGAATGAAAGAAGCTTTACACAAAAAAGTAGATATCGTATGATCCTACTTATATGAAGTCCTAAACGGCAAAATAATCTATGTTGAAATAATCAGAATAACAGTTGCTCTGAACAGGAGGTGGAGTGAGACTAACTAGGAATGGGGTGTGAGGCAACTCTATAGATAATGAAAAATACTGTTACATGCTAATAGGGGTATACGGCATTGGTCAAATCTGACTCAAGTGCACACTTAACATCATGCATGAGACTTATGTAAATTTACCCTCAAAACATAAATATCACAATTCAATTAATGACTACATGCTAAAGTATTTAGGAATAAAGGTTTACTTATGCTTGCAACTTCTTAAGATTTATGCATGTGATTTTATGTAAATTTTACCTCAAAACATAAACAAACATCAAACTCATTAATGACTATATGCTAAAATATTAGAAGTAAGGTTACCGATGCTTGCAACTTCTGTAGAAATGCATTTAGGGGGAAAAAATAAATGCATTTAAAAAGTTGACTGATTGGCCAGGCGTGGTGGCCATGCCTATAATCTAGCACTCTGGGAGGCAGGTGAGAGCATCATTTGAGGTCAGGAGTTCAAGTCACTGCTGAAAAGAGCAAGACCCTGTCTCTATTAAAAATAGTAAAAATTAGCCAGGTGTGGTGGTGCACACCTGGGTCCCAGTTACTTGGGAGGCTGAGGCAGGAGGATGACTTGAGCCAGGAGTTTGAGGTTGCTGTGAGCTAGGCTGATGCACAGCATTCTAGCCCAGGAAACAGAGCAAAGATTCTGTCTCCAGAAAATAAAAATAAAAAAATTTAAAAATTTAAAAATAAAGTTGACTGATGGATGTGTACAGGGAGATACATATTTGATAAAGCAATTATGGTAACTTCATCATAGTTTGAAAATTCTCATAAAAAAAGCTTGGTGGAAGAGAAATGTGGAAAGATCTCTATGTACTCAGTGAAGAGATCACCAAGATGGTAGTGTTATATTTTTCATTTATATGTTATATATGTAGATTTCATATATTTCATGATTTATAAAAGAGAATATGACATATGCCCTTCTAAAATATGTCAAGTATTATAATACTGTAAGACTCAGACATCTTTCCACTGTAATGACTCAAGCAACTTACCCAGCTCAAAAAAGAAACTGAAAAAAATTAAATAGAGAAAAACCTGATAATTATTACTTTTCCTATTTCATATTTTTCAAATGTTTTAACATATATACTACATAAAATTTCCTTAATCAGTATTGTCAGCTGAAACTACATCAAAAAGTTTTTTGCCTATTAAACTTCACTGCTACTTAGTACTACTATGAAATACTATAGCTTGGATTTATTATTTTATAATTTCAGCTGCCAAGTTTTCTATAATGTACTGCACAGGCAATTCATCTTACCAATGAGCGAATATTTAGAATGTAATATAAACTTCTCTTTTATTCTTTTTGGTGAGGCACAGTGGCTCACGCCTGTAATCCTAGCATTCTGGGAGCAAGGCAGGAGGATTGCTTGAGCTTAGGAGATCAAGACACCTGAGCAGAGTGAGACCTGTCTCTACCAAAAAAATAGAAAAAATCAGCTGGGCATGGTGTGAGCACCGGATTCCAACTGCTCAGGAGGCTGAGGCGGATCACTTGAGCCAGGACTTTTAGGTTGCAGTATAGCGTGAGGCACTGCACTCTATCTGGTTACGAAGTGAGCTCTGTTTTAAAAAAAAATTGATTTCCTTTTTCACATCATTATGGTAAATTGAGTCTTTTTATAATTTGGTAACAATACTTTTAGTGACTAATGGGGGGCACAATCAGTGAGAATACGAATAAATATTTTTTTTTCTCTGATAAAACCTCAACATTTTTGTGGTTCTTTGTCTTTAACTATATAAATTGAGAGTTTAAAAAAAAAACAAAACAGCCGAAGGCAGCAAAAATCATAATACTAACAATGACAAACACAACCTAACAGGGTAATAGGGTATTTGCATACCAGTCACATGTATCCGGTTCGTTTTTAAAATAGTTAAAAAAGCTTACCCCTTCTGCTTCAAAGGTAATTCAAGTTTAAATATGGTAGCCTTAACATGCTTTATATGCCTGCAAAAATAATGTATGAAATATAAACTTTACTTCTAGTATTTAAATACAAATTATTATATTTCTAAAATACATAAATATAAATCAGGTATTTGGCCTGATAGAATTTGCCTAGTCAAGACTTTAGCAGGCTTTTGGCGTGTTATTATACAAATTCTCAGTGAGGTCTTAATCCTGTCTTGACAATGCACTATTTTCTCTTGTACTCAGTCTCTTTTTCTCCTTACAACTTTCGTACCATCTCTTTCTCTTAAACTTCCAATATTCTTCCCCCTGTCATTTTTATCTAATGATGTGTTTGTTTCCTATTTCACTGAGAAAAACTGAAGTAATCAGTCTTTTATCTTCTCCTCTTATTTCTCCTCTTCATTGTTTGTATAGCTCAGCATTAAATAACATATTGTTATGTTTCACATCTTAAAAATGTCTTTTCGGCTTTGTCTATCTTCAGCTAATGCCCCATTTTTTCTCTCTCCCTTTAATCTAAAATCCTAGAAGAATTATCTAATTTGCTGACTCCAATTTCTTTCCTGCATCTTATTAAACACCATTCTAATCATGCCTTTCGCACCATCACTGTACATTTGTTCTTGACAAAGTCACTCCATGTTGGTGAAGTCAAAGGTTATATGACTTACAGAACAGATTTTTAAAACAGCAGATCATGCCCTTCCTCTGAAAGTACTTTTCCACTTGTTTTCTAGCAACCAGACTCTTCCTGGTCACTTCCACTGCTGGTCATTCCTCTCTCATTTTTTTTTTTGAGACAGAGTCTCACTTTTTTGCCCAGGCTAGAGTGAGTGCCATGGCGTCAGCCTAGCTCACAGCAACCTCAAACTCCTGGGCTCAAGCAATCCTGCTGCCTCAGCCTCCTGAGTAGCTGGGACTACAGTATGCACCACCATGCCGGCTAATTTTTTATATATAATATTATTAGTTGGCCAATTAATTTCTTTATATTTATAGTAGAGACGGGGTCTCGCTCTTGCTCAAGCTGGTTTTGAACTCCTGACCTCGAGCAATCTTCCCACCTCGGCCTCCCAGAGTACTAGGATTATAGGCGTGAGCCACTGTGCCCGGCCTCGTCTCTCCTTATTAAAGAA